CTCCAGGGCGAGCACGGGGGAAGGCGAGGGGAACCCCATTCCCCCGAGAAAGGACAGCAGGATATCCTCTCCAGGGCAAGATGAAACGGAAAACCTAAGATGCCCTCCATCGTCCCTTCTCTGCCTCCACCAGACACGTGCAATATTCGTCTCCAACGCGGCTAAATAATGTTCGGGCGCGGCCCTATGACCCACTTGTGTTGTTTGACGTTCGCTGCATATGTGACCGCCGACAACGTTACCCATAGACGGCGGTTTTATGTGTTGTCCATGTATATTTCTCTTTCTCTCTCTCTCTCTCTCTCTGTCTCCCGGCTGTCTGTCCCTCGCACTATTGATTTCTCTATAGAGTTATCTCTCTCTCTCTCTCTCTCTCTGTCTTGCTCTCTGTTTCTGGCTGTCTCTCTCTCTCTCTCTCTCTCTCTCACTATCTCGTTATCTCTCTATTTATGTTTATCTCTCTCTCTCTCTCTTCCATCTCTCGAGTGTCTATATCTCGGTGTATATATATAGTATGTGCCGCTGTCTCTCCCACTCTCTCTCTCTCTCTCTCTCTGTCTTTCTCTCTCTCTCTCTCTCTATATATATATGTGTATCCCCCTCTCTCTGTATATATATACGTTTGTTTTCGGTATGTGTATACATATACATATATCTATATATGTATGAATCATCGGTCGGTATATTATGTAAAATCCTAAATTACTCTCTTGTTGTTATATATGTATCTCTCTCTCTCCCTTTGTATATGTCTTGTTGTTGCGTCTCTCTCTCTCTCTCTCGCTTTCACTCTCTCTCTCTCTCTCTCTCCCTCGCTCTCTCTCTCTCTCTCTCTCTTTATTTGGTTATCTCTCTCTCTCTCTTTCTCTCGCTCTCTCTCTCTCTCTCTGTCTCTCTCTCTCTCTCTCTCTCTCTTTCTCTCAGCTCGCATTGTTTAATGACAACTGGCCAAAAGTGGATGCGTTCGCCCTGTTCGGGAACGCTTCCCTCGGCTAGCGAACTGGAGGCGCGTGACCAGCCCTGATTTGCCGTCGACGCCTGCTCGGCGCAGGATGCGTTCGGGAATGGGATCGCGCGGGCACGCGGGGCGATGACGGTGGGAGGTGTTGAGCTTCATCGGAGTCACTGCCTGCACTTTTGACCTGCGCATTCACTCTGCTTCTGCTCTGCACGTGGCCGAACGGCCATCGTGACCCCCAGACAGTTAGTCCCGGATTGTTTTGACATCAACCTCTGCAGACCCTCAGCAAGAGGACCCTCCACCACTCTGCCTGCAGACAGGCAGACCCACAGGCGAAGTTAGCCTGAGTCGCGGGACCACTGGGCAGCGTCGGCAGTACACGACGACGCCCGAAGAGAGTCCTGAGCGCAACGGCAGGGCGCGCGGTCGGGAAGGACGGGGCGGCCCCCCCCGTGCCCCGACGCGCGCTCGACAACAGAAAAGGGGGGCCCCCCTGAGCCGCGGCCACCGCAGGGGGGAAATCACCCCACGGCCGTGCAACAGGGGGGCGAGGACAACACGAGGCAGCGAAAAGGGCGGCCAGCAACGCCAGCCTGACGGAACTCCAAGACCCGAGCCCCAGGCCTGGCTGCGAATCAGCACCGCCAAGCAGGACGACGCAAAACCTCAGATCGAACCCGCCACATGAGCCCAGCAACCGCGGAAACAAAAAGAGCGGCCCCCCTGCGCTGCTGTCACCGCAGGGGGGGGGGGGGGGGGGGGGGGGGCACCCCCCACCCCCGCGGCCGCGCACGGGAGGAGGCGGCCACAGACGCGGCGCTGAAGAGGACGGCCAGCATCGCCTGCATGGCCGAACCCCACGGCCCGAGTTCGGAGGCTGACCCGCCCCGCCAGAGAGAACGACGCGAAAGCCCCAGGTCGAACCCGCCACGCAGGCCCAGCGACCGTTCAAGAAAGAACAAAAGAGGCGAGCACGCGCAGGCGGCTCTAGTCAGAGCCGGACAGGCCCCCGCCCACCTCTGGCCCCCCACCACCATCATCGGAAGAGACAGACGACTGCGAATGCGACGATTGGCCGCCCAGGCCATGCCAGGAAGACCCGCGGGGGCCCAGCTGTCGGTCCTCAACGCGAGGGTCGCCAGCCACGTGGCCGGCAACATTCGAAGCGGCACCTGGGGCCCCCGAGGCTGCAGCGAGGAGACGCCCAGCGACAGCGCCCACGCGCAGCTCTCGGGCCAGAACGCCGTCCTCCGAGGAGGGCGAAGGGGGGGGGTCGCGCGAGCGGGCAGGGGCGCCCACCTCCTCGCGCGGCCGAGCGGCAGGAAACGGGCCCGTCCACGGCGACGGGGGGGAACTGAACATTCTTCTCTCGCTTCCGCGGCAGGGGGCGGCGGCCCTGACAAAAGTACTTCCACGCAGGTCTGCCCGCGCCCGACTCTTCGCGGCCCGCGCAGGCCTCTCCAAGCTTCATGATTATTCCGCCAGTGCTGTGAAAATGGCGGTCGAGACAGATGCGCAGGAACGACCCATCATAACAATCTATAACAGCACAGCGGTGGCCCTGTTTCTGGAGGAGCGGGGGATTCAGAAGAGGCAAGGCAGAGCACGCCCCATCCGAAGGGCAGCTAGCTCCGCGCATACTTCGCAGACAACACGGAAACTGCCAAAACTCCCCCGCACAGGACAAATCAGGCACAAGCTTGCCCTCGCGGCCCTTCTTGTAAGGACGCACATAGGCCGCGCTGGACAGGTCCAACCGAGGCAACCTCGGGGGCAACGTAGGTGGCCAGGAGAACCACGGCCCTCGAAGTCTTGAAGGAACGTTCAGTCTGGTCCAGCACATCAGGATTAGCCGTGGGATGGAAACAGGCGCCCCCCCTGCAGCGTCGCCTGCCCACGAATTACCCTGCGTCCGAAAAAATCTTCCGAGCTGATCCCAGTCTCCTCGACGTCATTATGCGCGGAGACCTCTCCTACTTCTCCGATGAGAGAGCCGCCCCCAGGAAAAGCATCAAACACCGAGCCAGCGTAGGCCCTGCGCCCCAAAACTCTGCCCAGCGGGCCCCTCGAGGCCCCAGAGACAACCGAGGCGCAGTCAGAGCACGGGAAGACGGGCCATCGAGGTTGACCCCCGCAGCGGCTAAGCTTGAAAAACCCCCACATTGAGACGACTGGGGCAAGCGGGCCCACACAGGCCCAAAAACTCTCGCCGATAGGTGGCCTTCGGACGACGCCATCACGAAAGCCCAACCCGCCCGAGACAACTCCTTGATAACAGAAGGAAAGGAGCTCCCGTCCAGGAAGATGTGACCGCGAAATGGGGGTCGGGTCATGGGTCCAGGCCAGACGCTGCGCATCCCTCCTCGAAGAATTCCACCGCGGCTCCTTGCACGCCTCGCTGGGGGACAGGACCAGGAACCACGGCTCCAGGATGAGAGAAAGCCCCGATGGCGAACGCAACGAGCTCCTCCTTCGAGAGAGCGTGATCCACCGCCGCTTTACTGTGGAAAATTGCCGTCCTTTTCTTCCGGAACCCAGGGGTCACCCCCCCCTCCGAAAATCCCCCCCCTTTGCTGGACCCCCCCCCCCCTCCCCCCTTTCCCCCCCCCCAAAACCCCCCCCTCCCCTAACCCCTCCCCCCTCGAACTCGAAAACCGAAGGGGGGCGGCTACCGGTTCGAACCCCTCCCCCCCCCCTCGAAAACCGGAGGGGGGGTCACTACCGGTTCGAACCACTGAGCTGTCCCACTGTTCCCACCACTGTCCCCACTGTCCCCACCACTGTCCCCACTGTACCTCTGTCCCATTGTCCCACCGCCGTCCTCGCCACCGCCTTCACCACTGTCCCCACCACCACTGTACCCTCCACTGTCCTACTGTTTCCACCACATTCCCACTGTCCCCACACCACTGTCCCCACCACCACCGTCCCCACCACTGTCCCACTGTCCCCACTGTTCCCACCATTGTCCTCACCATTGTCCCCACCACTACCGTCCCCACCACTGTCCCACTGTCCCCACCACTGTCCCGCAATCCCCTCACCACTGTCCCCGCCACCACCGCCCCCACCACTGCCCGCACCCCCCCTCGGTTTTCGAGGGGGCGGGAGGGGGCTTCGAACCGGTAGCGACCCCCCCCGGTTTTCGAGTTCGAGGGGGGGGGGGGGTTCGAACCGGCAGTGACCCCCCCCCCCTTATTTTCATAATGAACTGCGGGGGGGGGGGTTCGAACCGGCAGCGACCCCCCCCCGGTTTTCCGGAGGGGGGAAGGGGGAGGGGAGGGGTTCGGACCGGTAGTGACCCCCCCCGGTTTTCCGCCAGCAGCGGTAGAACACGCTCTTTCCTTCATTTGGATCTCCAATGGCCTCACGAGCCCACCTGATCACATCCTGGCCCACAAAACCCCCCCTCTCCTCCCGGCAGGCCTCGCACCCCCAAAGGCGGTGAAAGAGCGAGTCGACCTTAGAACAGAAGGGGCAACACTTGGGCACCTGAAAGCCGGCCCTCCTAGCTCGCGAGTTGGCCCAGATCGCATTGCACACCGGCGCCCTAGGGCGCCCTTTTTAGAAAGGGGAAACTTTTTAGATCGGAGCGCCTTCCCGATGACATCAACGCACAATCGGCCCGATCCCCGAAGACTCGGAGGATCCAGGTCGGGAGCCAACTCGTCCTGAGCAGGGGGCGCTGCGCTGGCGGCACTGGCATCTGCTGGGGCAGGCTGAGGAAGCAGGCCACAAAAATAATCCCCCTTCATCAGCTTCGAACACGAGGCGCGCTCCAGGCTCCTGATCACAGCCTCGCGCAACAGCTTCTTGCAGAGACCTGGAGCAACCTGAGTACGTGAGATCCCCCTACCACGGTCGTCAACGAACGTCACATGATCATTCATATCCCATCGAATTCCCTTCAAGCACATAAACATGGCACTCATCGGCCCCGAGACCGATCTCCAAGAAACGCACTGCTGCCTGCCCTGGAAAACCGCCGCCCAAGATTCCCCAATGATGGCCCAGAAGCCATATTTCCTTACTGCGGCGA